AGTTGTATTTTCGTAGTGCAGTTCCAATAACAGTTAGCTCTGTCGACTAACACTCATAGAAATGCATTCGTTTCGAAACTGTCAAACTCTTTTTCATCATCGAGAAAGGTTAGGACTAGAGGCAGCTGTATTCACGACAGAATTCAGTGACGCAGAACACAGTTTGGATGTGCCCCATGAAGCAAAATCCTTGTTGAAATGCTGCTTGCTCAAGTGTTTTCGCCTCATCCAATGTTCTTGATATGCATGATAGCATAACCTTCGTGAAGAGCTTGTAGAGTACAACAAGCATTTCCGACAATAGTTATGAAAATTTTTTAGGTAACCTTTCTTGAACGGAATGACAGGGTGCGACATTTTACAGTACTGGCATTTTTTTTTCTTTTGAAAGTGGGATGTCCTACGATTTACGAGAAGTACACGGGGTCTCTGGCCTTTCAACTCTAGGAAAGTCGCCTGCGATAGCAGTGCTTCCTGGAGCTGCGCCTTTTCTCATGCTTTCTTTCGCATCTCGAACCTCATTACAAAGAATTCCAAGTGGTTTTTTTTCCAATGTTGATTTTAGTGTTCGAGGCGAAAATCGTGTGGCGCGAAAAGCTTGGTGTAGAACTTTTTCGTTATCAGTTCCATATCGAAAAGCCTTCGTGATTCCATTTTTGTTCATCAGGGCCGAGAACAAAACATTACACTGGTACAAGTCCCAATGACATTTTCTTCAGACGGTTTTTTTCGTGCTGCTTTTATCTGTTTTTCTAAATGTAGAGATATAGATCTTCCCCCAAATCTCTTCTGCAAGTGGAATTCAGTGTCATATATTGAGAAGACGCCACATCAAAAAGATCAAAGCTATGGACCCCGCTTCTGATGAAGAGCCTCTGATGAATGTTATCGCCTCTGATGAAGACAAAGACGTCGAAACGTCAGTCGAATAAATGTATTTACCAACCTTGCGTAATTAACCTTGCGTAATCCAACAATTTAAAAACGTGTTTATTATTTTGCTACCGAGGATAAATGACGGTCGCTGTGAAAATTGTTTTGCTAATAACTGTGGGCTAGCTAACATAATACCGACTACTACAAGGTTGATTACTTACTTGATACGTGATACTTGAATGGCTCGCCCTCACTGGTTGTGCGCCCCCAGCAAATTCTCTATTTTTCAGAGATTTGCTGGTTAAACCATTATGGCTCTCTGGAATCCCGAGATCAGCATGGCAAAAGTCTACCCAGGTCTTAACCACCACAGGCAGTCGCAGCCCTTGTGGATCAGAGGGAGATTTGCCACCATGCGACTTTGATACCAGAACGGTGGTGGATCCTGCTATTGGTTTACTCTTAGCTAGGCTTCCTGATGGAAACGCCGGACTCCTTCTCAGCTTGGGAGACCTTACCAGTGGATGAATCCCCGCTGTACATCGCAACCCGATACCCAGGAACACCTCCCAGCCACGATGAGGCAGTAACTCGTTGGGAGGGCAGGGTGGATTATCCTTTGAAAAACATTCTTATCAACGGATAGTCATGTCAACAACAACCGCCCTCTATAAAAGACCGCTTCCGGGTGAGCATGTCTCATTCGTGCGATTTTCCATTGTAGAAGATCCGTCTCGGTACGACTACGAAAACGCCACATTGAGAAGCCGAACAACTGTGGACCACCTACTAGGATCATCGGCTCTGGTGAAGATAAAAACGTCGAAACCTTAGCTGAATAAATGTGCTTGTCAGCTTCGCGTGAGCTCAAAAATTTAAATATGTGTTTCAATAGAATCAATCGTTTCTTGCCTTCGCTTTCCGTGCAATTTTTCAGTGCTAACTAATGAAGAGATGATTTGATTTTCTTGCTTTGGGGAACTAAGGTGAATTCGGTACAACTTCTAAGTCCTTCGACACATAACTCGTAGTTTTCTGTCTGGTCTTCTACAATCTGCCAGTCGGGTTTTGAAGAATTTTTTTCAGAATGTTATCATCATATAAAGGTGGACTTTTTCTTCTTGGTCGGTTGCTCGAAATTTTTTCCACCTTAAGGCTGAATCGAATCTTGGCGCAAAGAAGGCGGTGATTGGGACTAGTACAGAATAGTAGTGCTACCGATGCGTCAAGTAGGTACCACTTTCTCTTTGTGAGAACATGGTCGATCTTCGCATGGCGCCGCACTATTTGGTGACTCCCATATCGAGGTTACTTCCTTTCTTCGGAGAAAAAAAAGAATCCATCGTAAAGGCGTGTTGCAGGCTAGAGTCCTAGAAGCTGGATTCCACGGCATTTTTTTTTCTGCAAATCTGCATTTTCCGACTCTCTATTCGCTCTCGTAGGCCTTTTCCACTTTAGCGTTAAATTCTCCAGCAACGATTTTATAAAACGCTTTATCACTGCGGGATAAATGTTTCCATCTAATAGTGGAACGTAGCTAATTTCTACTCATCACTTCCATTGGTCGGTGAGTAGCATTTAATGATAGTGAATTTATCATGACGCGTTGCTTGAAGATGAAGGACGGCAATGCGAAGGGAAATAATCTCATAAGAATCGAGGAGGTGGAGGGCAAAGTGCCTCCGACAATTGGTGACGGGAGTTCCTCTCCACGTATGATAAGGGTCTCGCCGTTTAATTGGTGTATGTCGGCGTTTCTGCTCCTTCTTTGTAAGGCTGTCACGTGGAATTTCATCCGATCTGCGGCTTAAGGGTGAAGATCGGCGTCTGAGGAGAATGCTTTAGTACTACATATCAATCTCAGTGGCATCTTGTGTGCGTGTTCGTCAGATCCCGTTGCAGCCAAGTCCTGCGTAAATCGAGATTTTGTGGCTTCTCACCGATCGCCTTACTGTCTGACCACAATTTGGATCTGAGAGAAGTATGTTTTCCACAGCGATTCCATTGACCTCTCTTCGTACTGAGTTCCCCAGTAACTATATTAAAACCGAAATCAAAAATGAAGTGTACACAAAATAAAGTCCTAAGAGTGAACATTTAACCGACCACTGGAGGTCAATTAGAAGCCAAACTCGAATGCATATTTGGACTGAACAGTGAGTTTCAGTGACCCATCAATATATAACGTCAGGGCTTTTTAATCCTCCCAGACATGTTTGCTACCAATCAACCGAAGGAAGGTTGGATCGGATGACCTGAAGCACGGCGCGATATCAGTGACTACGCATGTATTGCTGCGTATTCTAACTACTGCGCCATGTGGGCGCAAAAAAATTTCATAACAGGCAAAATTCTGAGTAGAAAAATTATAAAGCCAGCCCACAAACTGGTTTGTTTATCGTTCACCTGCGCTCAAAAATTTCCTAGCCTACAGGTTTGCTGGAGGGTTAACATTTTAAGAGACAAAGGATATTTTAAGGGTGACATGTCATTTTCATCTTAAAAAATACCGGCTGTTGAAGTGCTGCATGACTTGGGGCGTTTTTTATGGTGGATTCTTCTCATTCCTGAGTTCTACACCAATTATCTAGTCTACGAAAAAAAACATTCTGCTTTTCTCTTGTTTCTACCTTTCTCACATTGGGAATGGCTTTGGTCTTAGTCGATAGATGAATAACCTGTATCCACAAGGAATTGTGTGAGCGTTGTGATTTAGGCTCTCCTATAATGCATACATACATTCACAAGTCGTCATCACAGGCAGTCTGTGGCGTTTATGGATCGGTAGAATGTTTGGCCTGAAGTAACCATGTTAGCTCAAGGACTTTAAGGACAACTGCACTGTCAACTTGCGGATGCCATTGTCAGACTCTTTTTACAGTTTCCATGATTGTACATAAACATCAATTGTGTCGATGTTTCGCACGTAATAAATACACACACAGCCATGGAGACGCTGGCGTCACTTTTCTGGAACATCACAAAGTAAAGAGTGCACTAGTACGTCGACCTCCATACCAACTGCTACAAATATTCACGTGGTTCCACAAATTATTTCCTGCATTGGGTCAAAAGACTAGCCCACATATGTGCATGTGACATACTTCTTTTGTTCTGGGATTTCGAATAGTAATCGGACATTCTGGCTGGAGCAGAATTGAGAAACGGTATTTGCTCAGCTCAGAATTCTAACCAGCAGTCACGTATCATTGCCGCTTTTTGCACACGGTTCATATCCAGTAGCGTTTTCTGCCGATTTCATTTTTGCATCCAGGTGTTCTTTTCTACAGTTACGACAGCCTAGAAGTCGGATGAGTAGTAGACCAAGACGTGAAATCTAATTTTTTTGTCATTTAAGTAGATATTCATGGTTCCGTTACACATTCACGGTTGTAGATGTAGTCATGAGGTACTTCATGACCTTCAAATGTATGGTGGTATTGTAGGATCTGTGAACTATAGCGCCTCTTCCATTAAAATTTCCAAAAGATCGAACAGACCAAAAGAAATCTTACTCAAAACAAGACAAATAGGTGCTCATCTTATGGTTATGCTTTCCCTTTAATTGAACAAAGCAACTCACTCCTCTGATTGCCTCTTGCAGGCCTTGCAAACACGTTTTGGTATATCGGAACTAAGCACAAAGGTAATAGACTAGAACGCCTTCATTGCTTCATTCACGGCAGCGAATCCATAGAAAAGTAAACGGTATGCGAACAACTGTGCAAATATTTTATTAGCAGCTTGCTTTATGTTTGTTCAAAGCAAATCAGTTTCATTGATGGTGCTTCGTGATTGACGTCACAGCGTGATTATCGTCATAATGTGATTGTCGCCAATTCACAATCGCCTATCCATCGTGGTCTATTTAACTGCTTGTTCGTTTACGAGTTGCACAGTTATCACCTTTTGCTTGTTATTCAAGAATGCGTTCGCGACCACTGTTGAAAACATTTCTTCCTTAGTTCTTCATAGTTTCAGTACGATCCTCATATAGATGAATTTTATGGGAGCATATCCGAGTTTTAGAACACACCTTCAAAACTACCTTTAGCAATCCATGAACGATTTTCACTAAGAGTTTTATGAAAATTCACTGATCACCATTCATCTTCGTTTTCAGCATGGTGCTAAACCAGTGGCTGTTCCTATTCATCGTCATCTTGTCTACGGTACTCATCATTGCTGATGTTACAAAGTGGGTCCGACTAATTTTCCTTTAAGACTGACTTATAAATCCTTAATAAAATTGACGATTAACACAAGAAGAAGGTTTCCCATTACGTGTCGAAAGCTTACCAGCTTTTTCTATTGATTTTTTTTCCTTTCCAGCTACAGCATACTGAAGATAGTAACTGTCAGTGACTCACAAAAAGATGACCTACGTGAATTGGATCGACTCCGAGGACATCAGGTTTGTTCAACACATTTTTAAATCACTGGATTAAAAACACCTTCGAGAAGAAGTTTTCCGGCTAAAAGTCAAGGAAGCACCCGAAACTTGGAGCAGTAGGAAGGATATTGAAATCCACCTTTTTAGCAAATCGATAATTCATCTAATTTGAATTTCAGATAGATTACTTACGAAAAGTCCGTTCATCAGGACAGTCGGCTGAAATGATCGTAGACAAAAACGAGCTTCACTTTATTCAACAATTTCTCACACGGAAAGGAATACTGAACGAAGTTCTTAGTAAGTGGAAGTTTCCTGGTGAAGAAAAAAATCAGAGAAAGAATCTTATTTCAAATTCGCCGTCATAATACTGACTTTAGCCTGTTATGGTCTTTTAAAGTAAAATCATAAAAATTTCAGTGTAATTCATGCTTTCAAATGTTGGGTTGATGAAGAGGGCATAGAGTGAACATGTCGTCACGTCACACGCGCAACTTTCACCTTTATAGAAGTGTTCTTTACCTTAACTTACTCTCGGCGTTCAGCAGTTCCTACCCTTAAAGTCAACGTCAATATTTCTTAATCCAGATTTTTTTAATGGATCCATCCGAAAACACATCTCGTCATAAAAATTGAAATGTTATAGAAAATCAAAAGATAACAGCCTCCTATTACTTCATCAAAGAGAGTGTCTAAGATAATCTGACCTGATTATTAATGCCGAGGCTAGGTGAAAGTCACTCTTTCAAATATGGAAGCAGTCCGTTCCTCTCTGACGGTATTTTAATCCTTAACCTACGCCCTCCTAAGTACTAACTAGACTCGACCTTAATCGAAATACACACCTGATAATCACGCGATCCACGATGACCAAAGCCTCCCCTACTTTCGTGATTGAAAAATTGACACCGCTCATAATTGAGAGGATAAAAGCACTGATTTAGTAGAAAAGCAGCCCGTGTAGGTTACTGTTTAAAGTAAGTATGGGCCAGTAAGTACAATTAGTACGGGAAACGTACGCTGATATGTGTAGAAGGCAAGAACTATTCGGAGAATAGTTACTCTTTGTGGTGCCGTATCTAGCAATTTAGCACTTTGTAAGGTAAATACACCTGCTAATTTAACAAAATAGGGTGATGCTGGCAAGTGTTGCCTCATCGAATGTTAAAACTAGACGACTTTATTGTTGGTTATATTAATCATAACATATAGAGGTACCGAGCTAAGTTAATGTCGTTGAAATATTACTTCCCAGTTGGCAGAAAATTATCAAATGCGTCACCTTTAAAAATCGTCAATGACCACCAACAAGCATACGTGAAGACTCCGTTTGCCCCAATCTCGTGGTCCAAGGCTACCCAGTGACCTTCACTTTCTCCAGAAATATGAAGAGCGACATACTTTTTCTTTCAAGCAGCTCATTGTTTGAATCCACATGCGTCTCAGAGCAACTACTGGGTCACTTATTTCCTCTAGACATCTGATCATGGAACATCACGTAATTTCAAGTCTATCTGAAGTCCCTCATATGAAGGGAATGCTAACATTTTTTTAGCAAAGTAATCCAAAGTTTCACTGTCCATCCACATATAAGCAGCCACTCTGACTAACCTTTAAGTAAGTGTATAAATTAGTAATTAAACTAGTATTAGCGCGTGTTTTGACTAGGAAACCATAACGGTATCGTTGTAGCTTTTATGCTATCATTTCTGTGCAAACTGATTCCTATACGATTATCTACTGGCTAAGTAAAGGAAATGAGTAGGAGAAGGTCGAGCAACAAGAGTTCATTCTAAGATCGGAAATTGAAGTCACTTTTCTTGGTTAACCCTCTCAATCGTAACATTTTCCATAGAAAGGTAGTGTTCAGTGGTCTTAGTCAGCCATGACGATTGGTGTTGGATACGAAAATGCTAACAAATGAAAAGGTGCAAAATAATTCATAAAAACAAGCCATAGTTACAATCTCCATCATAAATCACAACGAAAAGGAAATCAGAAAATCGATGAAGGCTTATTGCTTTGACTAAATGGTACATATTCATATAAAACTCGTCTCCCGCCAAGCGATTTCATTACTGATTATTTTCCTCCAAAAGTCTTCAAAACATCGCCCTTTGTTGAAACACTAAATCCGGGAATCCTCATCAGTCTAGTGACCGGTGATTCGGTAGGAGGAAAAGCTGAAAGTATTCTTTGTTCTGTTACAGTTTTTCGCCCACAGTATTTCAAAAAGGAAACTTAAAAAGCTGAAAGTATTTTTCTGGTAGTTTTTGCTCTCTCTGTCATCAAATGTGAGAAGCGAAACGATCACATATAAAAGACGTGGTTAACACTTAAGGACCAGCATGAGTGAACTTCCATTAGCGTGTGGGATGGCCTAATGAGCGGCGTGAGTGGATATCCACTCATTTTCTTTGCAGCTGTTCATTTTGGCGCATATAGGGCTTAGTTGCCCTTCGAAACCAATCAACAGCTTATCGAACGCAGATCATAGTGGTGGACATCGGTCCTGGAAAACTATTTTGTATAGTGTAAAGAAAACGGTACGCCAAGGTGAACTTTCACCTCGATAGGTTGAACAAATAAGCTTGTTTTAGCGCAGAATATAACTCAGGAGATTCATCGAGAACGGCGGGCGCTACTGGACACATCAAACGGCGAAATCACTCTTGACCACATACAGAAAAAATACTTGTCGTTCGACGACGTGAGTCCTTTTTTTTCGTCTTTTCGTGATCAACCTTATTCTAGAATGATAACCATAACTTACATAACTACTTCGATAGTTCTCATTAGAAAGAATCGTGCAAACCAATTACATCATCCATTTTAGTGGAATTTTCTAGTTTGATAAGCATGATTTTTCAATAAATCCTTTAGATAGCTGTGCCAAGGTGGCAGCAGACTTTGCCTCATGGGTGGAACCCCTTCCACCGCTATACGAGGCAGCTTTGCACGAGCTGATTTTCCTATCACGACCATTAATAAAGAGCAGATAATGAGAATTTCACATCAAACTACTCAACACAATATCTGACCTATAAATGACATTGTTACAAAAAATGGTGAAGTGAGGTTCTTATCTACGGAACCAGACTGCCTCAGAGTGGATGATAGTTAAAAATGAATTATCTGAAGCGGTTCCGTGATCATCAAGAAATATTTCCTTTTCATCTTCACGGCTATTCATCTGCGTTTCTTATCCCCAACGTATAAATTCGCTACAAAACAGACATTTCTACCCTAAAAACTGAATGTCTCTTTAGAAGTGAAGCCAAGCAATGCTTACCAATACCTCTTTAAGTAGATTCCATAGCTGTAAGGACTATTAGACTCTCCGTCATGCAAACTTTGCTGGCTTCCTTCTCCAACAAAAAATCGGTTCTTCCGCCGAATTGTCACCAAGACTGTAATGGCACTGCACAAAGTAGATTCCGTTGAGTGCAAGGTTTTATTTTTCAGCAGATGTTGCTACTTTTCCAAATGGCTAAAAGCTTTCCACAACTTGTTGATGTGTGGCAGGTGGCGACGTCAAGTGAGGGTCGTAAGATCTATGCAATTAAGGTAGGCCTACAATCTTTTTTACCTATGATAATGCTTTGGTACCAAATCCGTCTAAGATCATGGACAGAAAAAATAAGCTTATCTTTAAGTCTGCAAAATATTCAAGCCTTTGCTTGTGTTCTATAACACCGTTTGGAACTGAGTGGGTTATCATCAGTTTCATCAATTCTCTAACTACTGAACTCTGATTATTTTACTGCTGAAGAGATATTACTTTCTTTATATCTACGAAACCTTGCTCTACGAGTGGTAATCTTCTGAGTCTTTAGTTCCTAGCTGTCCGCCAGGTGTTTGTGTATTATTTATATTTATGTTATATCTTATGAACTGCCCTTATTAAACTAATCTCATGTTGGGATCAGTTTTTGTTGTTATTGCCGTCGTTTGGTGGCTGGCCTTTCCGCAAATTCGCCTTCTTCAAAGGCCGGACGTATTCTATGTATGGCTGCCCATAAAATTCAGCCAAATTTATACAGTATTCATGAAGATCTATGAATACCACTTTGTTAAGAATAGTCACCCTCTTGCTAGGTGTGGGACCAACCGTGTGTTGTTCACAGGGGACGATGACGAAAACCCACCCGAATAAAAAATCAGCCTGAGAAAAGGCGCCAAGTCATGTTTGATAGTGAGGCACTAGTAGATTTCGATTTATGTTATACTTTTTTTTACTAATTTTTCTTAGATAACAGACAGTACATGCAGAGATGGAAAAACAGGGAACGCAAGAGGTCGAGGAAGAGAGAGGGAAATTGGAGATTTAGGAGAAGGGAGAGAGAAGAGAGAGAGAGATATCCTCGAAGTATCTCCTTTGATGGAGACAAGCATAGTCGGTGGAACGACTGAAAAGGCTCCATTCTTCAACTTTAGTCACAATGAAAGGACCTCTAGTCCCTCCGTTACCGAGCGGCCAAACGTTGGCATGTTTTAAGTGATCTTTTTACGGCCACAACCACTTAGTGAAGAGCGCCTGTCCTATCTTGGAACTCCATTAAGTTGGTTCTTCATTGAGTCAGCTATATTCTGTAAGCTGTCCACGTTCATTCAGGACACTATTCTCCAGAGGAAAAAACTAGAAAACAAGAAGCCTGCACTTTAAAAGTTTATTAGGTTATTCGGAATATTTTCGCGAAAACGCTTTGTGCGTTCAGAAAGGGGCTCAGGAAAACAAGTTTCATAAATTTGAACATGTTATTGAATGGTTCTTCATATTTACGGAAATGTATTATAATGCATTTTTTTTCTAATAACATGTGGAAATCCAATTTCGAAGGAATTAGTTTCATGAGTTCACTTTTATGCTCAACAGCAGAAGCACTTGCGACTGTGAATAGTGGGGAACGAACGAGCTTACCCTTTTCGGAGGATAACGCGTTCAGCACCACACCATGCAAGTCCTTCGTTTCGCTTGTCTCTCAGCTAGTTTTTTTATCGATCACTACGATCAGCAATCACCCGTCAACGAGATTGATCTGGTGAGGTCTGGAGTTTTGTGAATATCTCAGCATCATCTTGGTTATACTTCACTTGATACCCTGCCGTGAAAAATTATACTAGGCAGTAAATAAAAAGGTTAAGAGTGTGAATAGTACCACAACGTTGCTGAGATATTTGCAAAACTCTGGACCGCAGGCGTCTATGGTGGGAAACGAACGCGCTATTATCCTTTCCGGGGAGCGGTCCAGAGTTTTGCAAATATCTCAGCAACGTTGTGGTTGTATTTCGTTTAGTAACCTGCCATGAAAATTATAGAAGGCAGAAAACAAAACGTTAAACATTGTGATTTCAACTACAACCATAGCTTAACTGGGTTCTATGCCGATTTGCGCTCCCCAGATCAACCCCGCTGACGGGTGATTGCTGTGGCAAAAAGATCGATAGAAATAGCTGAGAGACAGGCGAAACGAAGGACCCGCATGGTGTGGTGGTGAACGCGTTACTCCCCGGAAAGGATAATAGCGCGTTCGTTCCCCACCATAGACACCTGCGGTCCAGAGTTTTGCAAATATCTCAGCAACGTTGTGGTTGTATTTCGCTTAGTAACCTGCCATAAAAATTATAGAAGGCAGAAAACAAAACGTTAAACACTGTGGATAGTTTTGTCAACGCTGTTCATTTACAATTGTAATATTCAGATTGGTTATACCTCGAACTCAAGCAAACCGATTCTTTGGATCGATGCTGGGATCCATGCACGTGAATGGATTGCACACTCTACGGCTTTGAACATCATCTGGCAGGTGTGTGACGTTATTATGTTGGTTGTCGTCCATAACAAATGACGGCATAGTCATTCTTATCTATATGAATACTCAAAGACTGTCATATCGAATAGTAGAGTATATCAATGAACACTATACTAAAGACTACAGCCGATCGGAGCAAAAATAAAAACCCAGGAAACGTTAGTTTAATTCTATAGTTGGTCCTAGGCTTTATGAAGGGCTTGGTTGACTCGGCACACGGTCGAACCAGTGACCTTGAGCGTATTGTTGAACCGCGTTTCTAACGACTACACTTTGAAGGAATCAAAACCCTCATCATCATATATGACCATATAAGGAAATGGATGGTTATATTCGACGCTCAGATAAACAAACCAGAGGTAAAAGAAGCGAGTAGTCGGTGACATTCGTCCTGAACTATACCGTATTTCAGAGCTGAATGAATAGTATTGAAAATCGAATTGAAAAATTTAAAATATGCGAACGTTTCAAGGCGTAAACAGTGATGGAAACTAAGCAATAGAATAACATGAACTGATTCTACTTAACTAATTGAATTTGTACCGGGCCTTTAAATATTTCAACTGGTTCAAATGTTTCAAAAAGCATTTCCAAATATTAAACTTTGTGTGAAAACAACTACAGTGATGCTGAAATATTTGCGAAACTCCGCACTGCAGGTGTCTGCGGCAGGGATCGAACCTCGTTGTTACCGTTTTTGCCGCTAACGTGTTCACCACCATACCATGCGTGCCCTTTGTTTTAAGCTTCTGTCAGCGGTGTTATAGATGCTACCACCATTCATCAACGGGCACTACAGGGTACTACGTATACGTTTCCGTACTACAGCTTCAGCTTAACTGAGTTCAATGCCAACTTGTGCTTACCAGACCAATCCTGTTGACAGGTGATTGCTGATGGCGCCTATAAAACACAGCCGACAGAAAGGCGGTACGAAGGACATGCATGGTGTGGTGGTGAGTGCTTTAACCACCGGAAAGGATAATAACGAGGTTCGATTCTGCCGAAGACCCCTACAGCACGGAGTTTGCAAATAGCTCAGTATCACTGTAGTTGTATTTCACATCATACACTGCCATGAGAAAAGAATAGGCAGTAAATAAAAAGTGATTAAACTTTGTTTGAGAACACTGAAGAAGTTGAAGACTAGTGAAGAACTACATTTACTGGGATATTTCAGCTCGTTCATGATTCATCATATAAGACACTTCTTAGCCAAATGGATATTATCGTTGTACCTAATACGAATCCTGATGGTTATGAATATAGCCGCAGAAGAAATCGCCTTTGGAGAAAGACCAGGTGGTTACTGATGTCTAAACTTCAGACTGCTGTGCAGAGACGGGTGCTCTACTTCCAACAGTTCTAATATTCAGATCGAAATTATCCGTTAGTCGATACAGCGATCAATGTAGCGGTGTCGATGCGAATAGAAACTATCCATTTCATTTCGGAGAAGAAGGAGTCAGTCATTGGCCATGCCAGTAGGTTTTTTGTACATTCGAATAGGATAAACTAACCAATATTGTCTTTTTGAACTGAACGCTATTATTTATCAATGTCTAGTAAGTACCAGAGACCTATACCTCACACTAGCGTTTTTCGTCCGCCCCAGTAAGACAACACATCCAGATAATTTGTGTATAACGTTTAGAGGGCTAGTCGATATACAGTGAGTTAGTAATGAAATCCAGTATTCAGAGAGATTTACTGTGGTCCAAGAGCGATGAGCGAACCTGAGGTATGAAACGACTTCATCTAGATTTAATTTTAATAACAGAATAGACGAATTACAGGTAATGGGAGTGGCAACGGCGATTATGGAGAAGAAAAATGAAACCAAAGGTTATATAGCGCTGCATTCTTTCGGACAAGACATTCTCTATCCATGGGGACACAAAGCTCACGAATATCCTCCAGATGTGGAAGATTTGGCAAGCCTTCAACTATTTTGTTATTAAACTCATTCAGTTCTATCAGAACATTTGATGTACGACAAAAACACTAGCAAAAAGAAAAACGAGTCTCTTGTACGTTACCGAATGGCTCGAATATCTTGTGGTGACAAGAATCAAGTCGGATGAAATGCTGCTTGGTCATGTTGTTTAAAGATGTTTGAGCAAGCCCTTCTGATCACTCTTTTTTTGTAAAGGGATACCGTTAGAGTAAGTAGATTGTTGAGTTGCAGAGAACAATGGCAAATGGAATCGCAGCGGCAATTCGAACGGTGTATGGAACCAAGTATAAAGTATCAAACAGCGCAGACGGATTGTGTAAGTTGATCATTACACTAAACCAAATAATCATCTATACTCTGTCTTCAAATTGATAACGAAGTGATTCGAGATCACGGCAATAAAAAATAAAAAGACAAAACCCTCGATATTGAACAATCCCTTAGGGATGTTCCCTACATTCGACTTCACTAAGCACCGTTGAAGGCTACTGAATCCGTATCTGGACTATTAGTACCAATTTGCCGACCCCAGAGAGTTGGAAGATTTGGTGTGCAAGGTGTGCGAGAATCGATCCCATGTGTATTGCAGAGCGCCTACCGACCACTGCGCCAAACACGCCCATTTGAGATCACACCAGTAATATCTCATGTTCGTTCCTTTGCGCCAAATTTACACAAAGGCTCTATAAAGAAATAGCTTGAAAAGCGTCATCAAACATCATTAGGATATAGTGAAGAATCCGACAAATGTTCCGTTCTTTGCATCACAGTGTGTTGGTTAAGAAAAAACAACCGAGGTAATACCGTAGAGCTCGAACGATGAGTCAGTCATCCTATTCACTACTTGTTCTATTCTCCTCTTTCGAGCTAGTAGTGGTGGCCTAACTATACGTAAAACTTTTGGGATGACATGGATACCTATGGTATGGAAAAGCGTAGGATAAAAATATCTGGCATAACCATGGAATACTATTCACTGTGGATTCAGCTTGCTACATTGTCCTTGCGCAGTCGACCGACCGACCAATCACACTATTCCTTGCCATTAAAGAAATCGCCATCGCTCAAGAAAAACGTGATTTCCAAGACAACAGACTTTCCTCCAACCTACAGAAGCCTCTGACTGCCTGTGGTGAAGATCTGATATTACGGCTTCATCGGGAATCCAGGTGAAAGCACGGTCGACATGTATTCACCATATCAATTAGGAGAGAAATAACGTAGCAACAAGTCGTAGCCGAACCCATATTCAAATCTGAACACCTCTATGTGACGTGCTAGTTAGCCTTCGCACACGACTTTAGTCCTCCCCTTAATCACTTTGCTAAGTCTATTTGAAGTTTACATTAATCATCGTCATGGTTATAAGCTTCCATTATTCCAGATCCCGCATCAGGAGCAGCGGATGACTGGGCAAAAAGCATAGGAATCAAGTATTCGTTCACTTTCGAATTATCTCCGACCTCCGAGTCGGTGTTAATCACAGTTTCAACTACTTATCAGTGTTCCTAAAAAAAACACCTATTTACAGACCAGGTTTCGTACTTCCCGAGGCTCATATTGCTCGAGTTTCTCGAGAAATAATGGAAGGTGTCACATATATGGCAAAACGACTATGCGTTGAAGAGGCGGGTCGACTTCTAAGTGACGTAATATTGTCAAGCCCTATCAAAAAAAGGAATTGATGTCGAAAAGGATACTGAACTGAAATCTGAACTGTTTCAACACATATAAAATCATTCATGGGTTAAAACACTTGTTTGCTGAAACTGCCACGACCGACTTTCTATTAACCTCGGCATTGATCAAGTGATTTTCTTCGTATTTTTGTTGAGCAAACGCGAGGTGTTACTATTCTTTGTTCACGATTAAGCTGACGTTTCGGCGGATTTCGCCTTCTTCAGAGCCGCTTTTTATGAGGTTTCCACTAAGTATGTCACGTAGAGACCAACCGCACAGTAGTCACATGGAAGTATAATGATTTCTACTGATTTCTACTGACATTCCACCGAAATCCGCCGAAACGTCAGCTTAATCGTGAACAAAGAATAGTAACATCTCGCGTTTGCTCAACAAAAATACGAAGCAAGAAGGGAGTTCGTGAAAAGCGGTAGTGACTCCATATTTATCAATTTAACTGAAAAAAGCCGTTGTAGAGAACATCAAAGAGGAAATTTCATGCTTCTATTCAAAGCTTTCTACACAAGGTCAGGTTTTTTGGGTTACAGATCAGCATTTAGGGTCAAAAAATAGATAATTTATTTTTCTATGCTCTTGTTGCACGGATCTCCTTCATATGGGGATCTCGAACCGGTTAGTCGCGAGGCTACGTGGTGCGACCCCAGGTGGCGGATAGGGGTTAATCACGGACCAAAAGCAACCTTTGCTTCCCTCAGGCGCAGTCAGATCCAGGAGATGGATTCACTGCGTCTGCTGCGCCAATTTGGCACATACTTTTTGTACTTGCTAGGCGTATTCATGTATGCGTGTGTGGGGTGCGTTCTTGCTTACGCGGATTGTATTATACAATTCGGCCAGAAGCATGCAATCAAGTGACTGGAAAGTATATGGGAGGCGGTTAGGAGTCGCTTCCAACAAATAAGCTCCTTGTCCACTCCGGGAGAGCCTGGCAAGCTACCTGTGAGTATAACCAGCCTCCACGTTCACAGCCCAGCAAGCTATACGTGGGTATCAAAATGCTAAAAGCAGTAAAAGAAACCTCGTTCCTCTGACTCCGAAAGAGCCCCCAATTTCGCATCATTGGGCAGGACGAGTACGGAGGTGCTGCTAAAATCTCAGGGGCAATGGAAGCTGCCTGAATTTCAAAGAACTATGGTGACGATTTGTAAATACAATACACGTACACTTGTATCCGAGTCCTCGATAAAAGACTTGTCATGAAAGCAACAAGGAAAAAGCACGACGTCATTGCCCTGGCAGGAACGACACGACGTCAACCATTCAAGGTTGTCTATGACACCGAAGAAGAACTGTTCCTCGAAACACACGATAGCAGACGAGTCGGCGGCGTATGGTACGACGTCACCAAGAAAGTCACCAAGAAACGTTTGTCTCCAGAAACAGTCGAGCTGATACTCCAGCGTCAGACTCAAACTCAGGCAGCTGCCCACCGTGCTCGTTTTATCTAATCCTTATATAACGTTCTTCAGATCTTCTTCTAGGTCCAATATTAACGTAAAAATTTCCAATGATGACCTTGAGGAATGTATGGTCTTTTCTGAAGATCTTCTCCAAGTTTATATAGAATGCTTCGCTGCGTAACGTTCGCCTTCTGATGTTAGCCAGTCCGATGACGTCGTACCTTACGCCGCCGACTCGTCTGCTATCGTATGTTTCGAGGAACAGTTCTTCTTCGGTGTCATAGACAACCTTGAATGGTTGACGTCGTGTCGTTCCTGCCAGGGCAATGACGTCGTGCTTTTTCCTTGCTGCTTTCATGACAAGTCTTTTATCGAGGACTCGGATACAAGTGTACGTGTATTGTATTTACAAATCGTCACCATAGTTCTTTGAAATTCAGGCAGCTTCCATTGCCCCTGAGATTTTAGCAGCACCTCCGTACTCGTCCTGCCCAATGATGCGAAATTGGGGGCTCTTTCGGAGTCAGAGGAACGAGGTTTCTTTTACTGCTTTTAGCATTTTGATATCCACGTATAGCTTGCTGGGCTGTGAACGTGGAGGCTGGTTATACTCACAGGTAGCTTGCCAGGCTCTCCCGGAGTGGACAAGGAGCTTATTTGTTGGAAGCGACTCCTACGACTCCTAACCGCCTCCCATATACTTTCCAGTCACTTGATTGCATGCTTCTGGCCGAATTGTATAATACAATCCGCGTAAGCAAGAACGCACCCCACACACGCATACATGAATACGCCTAGCAAATACAAAAAGTATGTGCCAAATTGGGTCAGCAAGCACAGTGAATCCATCTCCTGGATCTTTAGACAACAGGAGCCCAATAATAAAGTTGATGTTAATTTTCGGATGTTTGCGAATGAAATTTTCAAAGTCCTTAATCACTATCGCGCGAAAAGATACAGCTCCAACCTCACTCCAGTGCAAAAACGTGGTATGCGATAGGTACGAGAGCTGATAAGGTTGAAAACCGTAAGACTTTCCGTTAGTGATAAGGGTGGAGAGTTTGTCGTAATTCCTCATCAGTTAGATGTGGAGATAACGAAAAAGCATCTTGAAGATGCTTCGCTTTATCGCCCATCATCTGAGAAGGAATTCAAAA